AACTCACTAGCACCAGAAATAGTGATGGCCACCAAAGCTAGAGGCAGCGTACATATGTACACCCATTGCTGAGGGAGTCTGATTCAAGTGGGCTGCTTAAGGGTTCCTATGGGCAGCTGGCTTGCTGCTGCGTGATCAGAATGATGGAATAGATGACTCTTGGTCTGATCCGGAATAGCTTTTATGTTCTTATTTAGGGTTTAGAAAATATAGTACTTAAGAAAGCTTATGAATAGTTTTAAACCTAAAGCAACATATCTACATGTAAAGTCTTTCTACTAAGCTTATACTAGCAATCAGAAAATAAAAGGGTTGCATTAATTAAGTTGTATTTATTAAGTAGCAGATTAATAAGAGTTTGTACTAAATTGAACAAAAGTACTCAGACTCCATAGGAGTTTGTTTTTTTTCCTGGAGTGGTTGATCTTGTCCTGATTCATAACAAATGACTATTGGTCCAACCTGTCTTTATAAGAATATACTGGATGTCCTGTGAGGAAGAAAATCTGAGAATTCAGAAATTCGAATGTAAAATTACTCTGAGCTGATGTTAGTGCCATCTCTCAGATCTACCTTATACCTGCAAAGAAATCTTGATATTAGCTTGGTAACATCAATGTTTTGTGCAATTATAGCCACATCATGGGGTTAACTTGTTTCCTGGATTAATATTTGGTCCCAAGTATGGCACTGGGGGAATATAATTTTCAAATACAGTTTAACCTATGCATTGTCAAACCACTTCCAAAAGCTTTGATGAGATCATTCCTAAGACTATAACTTCCTTTGAATGGAAGCAGATCTAACAATTAAGGAACTTAAATACAGCCTCCAAGTTGTCCAACTTGTTATGTCACCTGTGACCTTTATTTTAGAAATTTAGACACCTTTTCTTAGACATACATGGAAAGACTTTTTAAGCATCACTTTTAAAAATAGTGTGTCCAGTAGAACAGAATTGAATAACAGTAGAGTACTGTTATTTTCTGTCAACATTCAGGTTTGATACATTATCTTGACAATTTTGACTGACGGACACAATATAGGGGCTAAATTATTAACTGGAACCAATCACATGAAATATATCTTACTACTATTAAAACAGCTCCACTGGCTTCCAGTGTTTCTGGGCCCAAGTCAGTGTTTTTGAGTTTGAAAATCAGCACTGGGATTGGAATCTGAAGGATCACTTGCTCCTTTACAAACTTCTGTGCATGTTGAAAAACATCTACAGAAGCTCTGATCCCCCTGCCTTTTTGAGGTCAGGCAAGTGGCAACCAAGACTAGGGCTCTCTCTGTGGTGGCTACTGATTTTGAACACTGTCTCCAAAGAAATCCACCTTAGTTTCAGGTGCCCAATGTTAACCATTAGTTTCATCTGTTCTTTTAACTAATGGTGGTGCTGTTTTATACTGCTACTGACCTTTACTTCATTTGTTTTCAGCTGTCTCTTGATGTTCTGCATTTGTTGTTACTGTTGCAGTTTTGTTGTTTTGGTTGTTGTTATGTTTTAATCTTGGACACCAGATTATGATTGTTTAAATGCTAAATTAGGTGGTGTAAATTAAATATATTAAATACACCTGTGGAAGTTCTATTGATACTTGGGATGGCTACAGCAAGTGATGAGCACTGCCAATATTAAGCTGTACTTTGTAAAAGTTATAAAAACCCAACCCAAAGTGTACTGTAGTGCTTATTATCCATTTGATTTTATTTTTTTAAATGGGAACTACCCTTCTTCATTTCTTTGAGCAATATTTCAATGTCCATAATTGCAGGGAGTCCCCAAGATACAAATGCCCGAACAACCCTTGGTAACTGCCATAAAACCTATTAATTTTTAAAAATGACAGTATGAAATTGTCATCATCATAAAGGAAATGAAAGTGAAGAGAGGAAGAGCTTCCAAAGCATCAGTTGACAGAGAGTGGAAGGGCTCCAAAGCATGTCTTCCTGCCCACCCATCCCAAAAGGGTGGCATTTCCACCCTCTATCTGGCATATCTGGCATTTCCTTGCTTCAAAGAGGAGGCATGGCTGAGTTTTGGTGGGGAGGGGTCCTAGAGATAGTTGTGGTTTCTCTACTTTCCCATGGTCCTGTGCCCCAATCCCTGCAAATGTGGAGAGCAAACTATATGTGATCCAACTTGATTTAAAGACAAATTTCCATTTTCTCAGGAACAGAGCTCATTTATAACCATGGGACTGCCTAAACTAAATTTTTCTCTTTAGTCTTTCACACATAGTGTACATCTATTATACTCTTTTATGATCTTCTACATAAAAGAAACTTTGTATTTACTGAATATTTAACCTCTCCTTCAGCCAAAAAAGCCCCCTCAGAATGGCTTACAAGGATCACAAATGAAAGAATCTTCACCTCATGCTTCCAGTCAAAAAGCCGCAACACAAAAGGAAAAGATTGGAAAGAATTGGAAAGCAAACTCAGGCAGGAACCAGTTCTTGAAGTTACAAAATTCTTATATAAAGAACTGGACACAATTCAAGGAAAATCGAACAGTGCTGAATTATCAGACTAGTCAATGGAATAACTGTGCTTATATCTCTCTCAGCTGCAGTCTAAGAGTATGACTGCTGCTAATGTCCAGTGAGGGAGAGAAATCATCCAATAAAGCTAATTTCTCACTAAAATCTATTTTCTAAATCTATCTCTGTTTGCTTAAACAACTTTTTTTTCTGTGCTAAAATTCTGACTTCCTTCTGCATGTCATTCTTGGCTCTAAAGCAGTCTTTTGGATATTTCCCAGTTTATTTATCATAAATACTAGGTAAAGAATTGTGATTCTGATGTCATGCATGCATCCCAGCTCATTTTTTACACTTACTTGAATCAACGCTTTATTTCAATAACCCCAAGATATTTCCTAACACTGCTAGATCAACCTCCACAGTAGTTAGATCTGTGGGGGGTTTTCCCTCATCTCAGTTTGCAATAATTTGGGCATAACACCCACTCATGGATGAACATTTCCGAGTCCCAAACAACTTAGAAGTACTTAAAACCATGTAATTGAAACCAGGAGGTCCTAATTCTTAGATTCTCATTTGATTCCATCTTATTGGTATCAAATCCAATAAATTGGATGTGAATTGTGAATATATAACCCTATAGCCAGATACCTTTTGAGGACATTCTCTGATGCCATTTCTGATGAAGCCATAACGTTTAAGAATTTATGGTTAAAGAAGGACACTGGTGAATTATAAGATCAAGATGATAGTCACATAATTGGGAAAACCAATACTGTGGAGAATGTTTGAAGAGGTTGGGCATGCTTAACTTGAAGAAGAGACAAGTGATGTGATAACAATCTTCAACCAAATGAATTTCCTGATTGTACAAGGTGTTTGACAATGGAACAGACTGCCTGAGAAGCTGAAGGGCTTCCTTCATTAGATGATTCTAAATAAAGGCTGGTTGAGTAAGCATCAGGAATACTATAGCAGGGGATGTTGCCTGCATCAACAGGGAATTAGATTGAATATTTGAGAACTCTTCCAGCTTTATGAGTCCATGTTAGCAGGTGGTATAAAAGTCCTTTCTATAATAAAATATCTGTTAAGTCCATTGACAGCTGCATCATTTTGGAGTTTGTTATTTGAAGCTTGTATACTTTCTATTTGTCAACTTTTGACAGCATAGCACATATTTCAAGGGATTTTGAAAGAAAATCAGCAATGCCCTATGGCTTCATAATACACATGAAAGTTCACATTATTTTATAACACTAGGTAAAACTGGTCTCTCAAATGGATACAATTTGACTGTTGCTAAAACATTGCATGCATATATGGAGGATTTATTTTCAATATTTGCAGGTAAAACTTTTATAGTTGTGTCCATTTCTTAAAAGAGGACACAAACATATAAAAAAGCATGTTATTATAAAGAATGCACCATTGCAAATCAACACCAAACAACAAAAACCACACTCATTATAAAACAGTGACTATAGCAGTTGCAGCTGAGGAAGGGCTGTTGTCAAGATCTCCAGGCTCCTTTCTTTCATGACAGCTAAATGGTAACTGACACATTCCTCTCTTGGAACATTTCTCATAGATAGCAGCTGATAGTATTCTCTGGTGCTTCTGATAAACTGCTTCCAAAGCACTTGTGATCCAAGTTGAGTCTTCCAAATCTTTACTCAAATATTTCCCCAAGGTTTCCTCCTCTCTGCAAAAATAAGAAAAATAACCTTCCTTAAGGATTGCAGTTGCTGGTGAGAGCTTTGTTGACATTTGTTTGGATGATTTTGCACTGTTTTTATTCAATATCAATTTCTATTATATGGAATTTTGTTCTTGTATGCTGCTTTGGGAGGGTCTCTGACCAGAAGTGTAGCCTCGAATTATTCCAAATTTAAAAATTAGGTAACTTCATCCAGAAATTCCTAAAGAAAAGCGAGACCAGACTGTCGAATGCAAGAGGACAGGGCTCCTGCGCTTTTGACAGAAGCGCAGCAGAGGGACTGCTCGTGGGTATAGCACCTAGTCAAAGTGCAACAGCCCTGCCTTCGTTTGCATCTGGCCACTTCTAAAACCCAGGTTCCTCCTAAGCAGAGCTCAGTCGTTTAGTATTGCACAGTCAGGACTCGACTTCTTTGCGCATTTCCCAGCCTTGCCGATGCCCCGACTGGCTCCTCCAGACAACCACCCTAGTAACCACTTAGAACTCTCGGGTTTCCTACGCTTACGACGCGGGTTCTTTAGCGCATGCGTAGTTTTCGTTCCAGGACTTCGAGTGCGTGAGGGCGTGCGTGCGCGCTCCCTCAAGTTGGCGCCACTCCATTTACACTCCCCTTTACCCCCAGTCGGGGTAGTTAGCCACCTTTCTTCAGCCTCTGTGCCTTGCCCTCAGTCAATTTATTTATTTTTTTCTGAAGTGCGCGCGCACGCGCATCTGACACCGCCCCAAAGCTCGCCGTAACCGACTTCCCCGTCACTCCGCGGACCTCGCGCCAGATGTACACCGGAGGCGCGCGCGCAAGCTGATGGCGTGCGTGCGGACGCATGCGCGGTCCTGTGCGTGAGCAAAGCGGGGAGTCGGGTTCAAAGGAGGAAATATGGCGGAAAACAAAGGAGGAGGAGGAGGCGGCGGTGGCGGGGAGGGGGCTGGGGACGCCGTGCCGGCGGGGGGTGGACCCGAGCCTGCCGTCGCCGCGTCGGCTGTCGTTGTCACCTCCGCGGCGGCAATTGCGTCGCCGTCCCCTCCCGTCCCCGCCCCGCCCGAGGAGAGGGAGAGTCCCGCCGCGGTGGTCCTGGCTGCGGTGGCGGCGGACAAGGGCCCAGGGGAGGCGGAGGCCGCGGCGCCGGTGGCGGCGGCGAGCGGAGGCCCTGCTTCCGGCTCACTAGCGGCGCCGCTGGGCCCCAGCCCCGCGCCGCCCGCCCTCTCCAGCGCCGCGCCGGGCCCGCTGTCGTTGCTGGACACCTGCGCAGTGTGCGCGCAGAGCCTGCAGAGCCGGGAGGCCGAGCCCAAGCTGCTGCCCTGTCTTCACTCTTTTTGTCGACGCTGCTTGCCGGAGCCCGAACGCCAGCTCAACGTGCCCGTGCCCGGCGGCGCGAACGGGGACATCCAGCAGGGTGAGTGCGAAGGCTGCAGGCATGGGCGGTGGGCGCCTGCCGGGAACGGAGGTATGGCCAGGGTGGATGCGCTGCTAGGTAGGGGTGGACCCGGCCGAAGGGACGCTGAGCGAGTGTAGAAGGCGTGTAGATCGTGAGTTGGGTTAGAATGAGTAGATAGCAGCTCAGCTTGAGAAGCTTTCTTCGAGGCTTACAAAGCAGCCCCGGTGAGTGGATATATTGTTCTCTACTGGAACAGAGATGTATATGTGATAGTTGCTAATGTTGTGGAATACACAGGTGATGTGTTTGAGCTCATCTCTTTGTAGGATTGGTATGCATTTAAGCGCACAAACAGGACACGGCTGGCCTTGGAGCATCAAGGCCAGGCGCTGGGGTGCGTACGGATGGCCAGTGGTAGAGAAAGTCTATGGTAGATTATGGACTTGCTGTGAATATTTTGTTTCAGAGTGGATGTTCAAGATGTTCCATGGAAGAGTGACTAGCAGTAACTTAATATATTTATATGGGAACAGAAAACAAATTTTGTTAGTTACTGTGGTATTAGTTATGGTATGAGGATTGTTATTTTTTCAACTTTTTTTTTAAACACAGAAACCTTCGAAATAGGACAGCTCATAATCTATTCTAGACAATGGGTGGGTAGACTCCAAGTTTGCAGGATCTAGAATTTTGAGATCCACTATCTGGAGCCTGGTACAAAAGAAATGCAGTTTGTATTTAGTAATGTTGAGTCCAAGAATTTGTTCTGCATACCAGAAATGCAATGAAAGTCACAGTAATTCCCCAAAAAATTCCAGTTCAGGTTATATCTTCACCCTACATAAACTTTTTAAAAAATACCAGCAGTATAGCTTAGGATTGGATATGAGTATTTGATAATGTTAAACTTTTTTCTAATTATCGAGAAAATCTTCCAAAGGACATTTATCTTTCTGCCCACCCTATTCTAGACCTGTTCCTAACCTAACAAGTGCAACTATTCTAATCTCACTGTTTTAAACTGACACATTACCATTGCTCCATCAACATTTCATGGTTCAGAAGAATCTCCTTCTTGTTTCTTTAGAATTCCATTCAAGGATCACACTTCAGAATATTATTCACTTCAGTGGTATGAAATTTTTCTGGACAAATGTAAGGTTAAGGAACTTATCAGTACATGTGCCAGACTTAGAAGTTATTTATTAATATTAGGAACCAAAGGAAATAAATATCTGTAGACAATGTGGATTTTTAAAGAGCTGCTAAGAAGGTATTGAAAATAGTATTGGATAGTATGTGTTTACTACACAATGCAACTCATGATATGCAATGAAATGGTTGGTCAGCACTACTAGATCAATTATTTCTAATGAGTACAGAACTAAGATAATCCACATTTACTTCAAGCTTTTTAGGTGATGCTGGCTTTGACAGTTTTTGTAAGTTTCTTTTTTCTTTTTAGTATGCATAGTAGCTGTCTCTGTTTTCATGTGACTGTATTGGGGCAAGCCCAACACATTCAACTGTAGAATGAAAGTGCAGTCATTTATCCAAATTTCAAGATGGCAGATATGTGAAAAATTGAAATGTGGGGCAGGGATGATGCATTTGAGGTTGTTCTTTTTACCTTTTTTCTGTTAAGTGAATAGTGAAGCAAAAGTATATTGTGTGCCTATCAGTAAACATAAATTGAGTGGCTATCAATATGGTATATATTGAGTGGCATAAATATTGCATTATTCTTTGTGACTTTGGTTTTGTTGGGCTGTTTAATTTGGAATTCTTTAATTCTTCCATTTGGGAAAATACTTGGAAATAACAGGAAGGTTCACAGGTGGTGACTGTGTTTGCTTCTCTGTTCTTTGTACTTGGAAGTTGCTGCTGCTTTCTCAAAGGTGGGGGTATGTTAGCAGATTTCCCACAAAAGATTCACAGATTTTCCCACAAAAAGTATTTTAGAAATATATCTTAAGTTGCTTTTATGCAGCACTGTCCATAAATTGCATATTGTTATTACTTTAATTGGAACTGTTTAATGTCAACATTGTCATTTATTTTCAGTGAAAGATTTTCAGAAAATTTATTTTACATGGTTCAGTTTTGTGCTTGCTGAGTAATCTAGTCAGTTCAGGTGATCCAGGAATGCTGATTATCCTCAGTAAGAATTCAATATGCAATTTCTTATGAACTCAATGTTGGATAGAGTATAGATGCAATTATAATTCTTGGAGCTGATTTATACATCATGGTAATAAACCATCATGGTGAATTGTTCACTGAGCAACCCATGGTATTCCCAACAGACAATCATAGTTGCTGTGGCTCCCTCTTGCACATTTCTCAGTTTTCCTGCCAGCTCCAGCACATATAACCCAGATGCTTTTGTGGCAGAACTCCTTGTTACTTCAGAATGCAAGTCAGCACCCTTTTGACAGTTTGTCCACTGGAGTTGTTGGCTGCAGAAAGAACCTTCCATCTTGTATCAGATTGCCACATGGAATTAATTTTCAAAGCCTTTATTAACATACAGATGTATCCAATAGCTTTTTCTGAGGGGGAAGAATTTTGTTGTGCCACAGTACAAGACAGACTCTCAGATCTTTAGCTTAGAATATTGATACCCTCTCTTGCCAATATTCTAGCTAATTTCATCCTCTATTTTGAAGTTTGTTATAAAGTGCCTTTCTTCCAGCTTCTTTCATCTCCCACTCCCTTTCCTGCTTATTGCTTCTTTTGTTTCTAACTGTGACATCTTGATATTTGTGATCTTTAGAGGCATGGAGCAGAGGATACTGAGAAAGAATGAGAATGCCAGTGGCATGACCAAAATTGCAAGGAATGGCAGGGTTTGTCCTGCTTTGGCTGTGTGTGTGGCTCTCTATCTCTACCCAGAGATAGAGAGCCACACACTGCTGGATTCAGATGGCTCAGCAAACCACTATGGGTATCAACAAGCCTAAAGTAATGGATTTTTAAGGTGGCTTGTTTGTGAAAAATAAGTAACAGTGCAGAAATGCTGGTTCTTTTACATTGTTGTATGCCAGCTTTTCTTCCCTTCATACATTCAAGGCAAGAGACCATTCTTTGCAAACAACTCTTTATTCACCAAAGGTTACTCAATAAACGCATTCACCAGAGAATGTTTATCTGAGCATGGGCAAAGGGAATTGTTCAACCCAATCTAAACAACTATTACTGAAGTATGTCCTTTTGAGTACATCTGGGCCCGATCCCTTCTGAAGGGCCCATTTAGAAGTGAGCACACCTCTTTTCTAAATGCCTATCCTCTAATTGTCTCCTGATGCTGTGTCATGGGCTCAAGAGCCATACAAGGTTTGTCTGAGAGCTCCTTTCCACCTGACAGCTGTGCATCTTGGCTATTCTCAAAGTCTGCCTGAGTACTTGCAGAGAGTGGCCTTGAGATAAGTGCCACTTCTTTCATCTCAGAGTCAGGAGTCCCACATTTCCAAGCCCTCTCCACCTTTTCCCCTTCATTCACTAATTCAGAGTACAAATTGGCACAAACCATGAGTGGCGCCAAGAACAACTGCCACCCTCATTCCCAACAGACATGACAGTCCACCATACCTGATCATCCATGGTGGGTTGTTGTGCTGCAAGAACCAGGTCAGTATCTATATAGTATTATACTTGAAGTACTTGGAACATTTTTGTTTCATATCCTTACAACACCCAGTATTAGTATTTCAGTACTAAAATCTCTGGCTAAGAAAAAGTGGCATATGTAAGGATAAACAATGAATTTATGACAAAGATAACATTCAAACGGGGGAGTTCCTGTTTCATAAGGCAGCTTCTGATGTTCTCATGTAGTCCTGAAACTTCGTAGAAATGGAAACTGAGATTCCAAGACCTGAGTTCACAGATTTCCATCAGGCAGATTAGAACCGATTGTATGTTAGCCAGACAAGCTTGCTTCTAGTGAAATGAAGTCATTTCCGAGGAAAAATTTCCAGAGCTATTTTATGGAGAAATTTCTGTTTCATAAACTAATTAGTAAAAATGTATGTATGCCAATTGAAAATACAAGCATGTCAGTTTCAAAGTTAAGCTTGGCAGTTTCAAAGCTATCTATATTTTTTTAAAAATGATTATCACTAGCAAGTATGACTTGGTTCTTACATGATTGCCAGTTCCTGGGTTAAATAGTTCCAGGAATTTATCTGACTCTGGAAACAGCTTGGTGGGTAGGGTTGTAGGCAGCATGCTCACTTGGTCTGTCATGGCCGTGACAATTCCTGGGTTGTTTATTGCAGGCCAACTGGATTTCACTATATGACTCTGAAATATGTTTGTCTCAGTATGAACTGGAATTTATCAGTACTGACAATTGAAAGTGCTTCAGTAATCTTACAAGAAGAAAGTAGAACTAGAATTTCTATGTCAGTATAAAATTTTGGACTGGTTGATTTTCTAAAATGTATTACTGTGTTGATAGTTTTCAAAAACTTTAGAAATTTTAACAACAGAAGAGAAGTAAATTCAGTTGTCTTAATTTTTTTGCAAGTAGTCCAGTAAACTGTATAAAAGAACATTTAAATTATATTTATGTGTTTTATTTCCCCCTTTCCCTCAAATATTCAAGGTTAAATACCTGTAGTCTGTTAGGATAAAAAAATTAATATTGTGTACTTTTTAGTGTTGATTTTCATTAAATACAAGAAAAATAAACATTCCAAATTGGATCTCTCTAGGGCATTTGGGTGGCTTGTTGCCCTCTTACATTCCCTGTCATCTCTAAACAGCATAGTCAATGGTGAGGGAAGATGGTAGTTGTAAACCAAAGCATCTGTTGCACCACATTGCCCTCTCCTGCTCTAGGGCATTGTAACATTTTTTCATGCAAGATGACTTTTTTCCTACCCAGATTATCCTGTGCAAATTAACCTAATTTGTGTTGGATGTTTTGAAGCACATTACATTTTTATGAAAATGATCTTGTGCAAATTAATTTTTAATTATTAATTAAATAATTCGCACTGGAAATTCTTGGA